AATGCAAGTATCTCTCCATCTCAATATTTTCTATTTCTCTTTCCATCTGGGTATTGTTTAAATATTCCAATACGTAGACCATTAACACAGCATAAAGGTATTGTTCCACTCACTGTGTAGGTAATGTTTTGACATCTACCCAGCATCTTTTTAAGGCTGTGTCACGGAGGCCAGCAGCCTCTTTTACATTGTACAACAACAATGACAAAAGCCTTAAGCAGTGACTGTGAGTGTCACTGTCAGACTTGAAATTTAAGCAGAGCAGGAGAAAAAAATGGGAGAGAAGAAGGAAAAGAGACAAATGAGTGCCTGTTGTTGGCAAGATGTGATCAGAGGCTAAACAGAGGGAGAAACTGACAAATGCTGTCTGCCCTTCCTTAGTCATTCAAGGAAATTCCTGCTTCTCCATTTAAACTTTAGAAGAAAATCCTAAGAACAGGCACTTGTGCTAAATTTAAGGTTCAGACAACTGAGTTGGAGCTGTCAGTTTCTCCTAAAGGAGGGTGGGGAAAATGCTAGGTGTATCACTCAGCATTCTTTGTAGTAGGAAACAGAATCCACCACTTTCTTACTATCTTAAACAAAAGACTGTATTGGAAGTGACTTACAGCACCAGAGGAAGGGTGGTGGACTAGACCTGGATCACCATAGAAACCAAGAAACCAAGGTTTCAGGAAGACCGTCTGAGAGCTGAGAGACGATGACAACTATTTTTTCAGCAGCAGCAGCAGCCACCACCTAGGCAGGAGGCCATCTGCTGCTGCTGGATATCACTGTCTGCTCCAGACTCAAAGTCCTGAGAAGAGCATCCACTTGGCGAAGCCTGGGCCGCCCCAGGCTGACCACCAGCAGATGGAAAATTGTCCACCTTGACTTTCACAGTGGGAAAGGCATTGACCAACTGCACACACAGTGGTGATTTCTCCTGCTACTCTGAGGGCTGGAATGCTGGGCTATCTCCAAAATGGCACATCCAGTACACTAGGGTCAGGGAAACGTGACTATGAAGGATGCCAGAGGTCCTGGCACAGGCTTGTGGCCTTAGGAGCAGCTATTGGGAAGCTAAGGGAGTGTGACCTATTTCTTGCTAATAGACTGAAGTGGCAGAGAGGATTAGAGGAGAGGGCCCGTCCCAGTTTTCTTAACCTCGTTTCTCTCTCTGCTTAGCCTCTACTCTCATCTTGAGAGAAAATAAAGGGATGGTAGAGAGGCTGGCTGGAGGGATAGCCTGGATTGTCAAGCCCACTGCCCAGAGCTAAAATGTGGGCTTGTGGATGTCTACTGAACACCCTAATGCTCAAGGGCTGTCATCTGGGAGAGCCACTTCCACTTCAGGGGAGTTAGTCTGTTTTTGCATTTTAAAGCATGCTATTCTTTTTTCTCCAGAAAGTCATGAACTTTGAAATCATGCTGAAGTCTGAATCTGGATATATTCTTTCCTTCATTTATTTATTTTTCTGGGTTCGTGGGCACAAGCTTGACTTAGGTGAATTTGGGAGGTAAAACTTAAGCCCCGTAAATGAAATAATAGGGAGCTTTAGCATGAATTTCAGGATGAGTCATGGATTAAAAGGTATAAAGGTTAAAAGGGGATGAAGCTGAGAAGGAGGTTTTGTAACTCTTTTTTTTTTGAGATATAATTCACATACCATACATTTCACCCATTTAAAGTGTGCAATTCAATGTTTTTTAGTAAATTCACAGAGTTATGCAACCACACCACATTCAATTTTTGAACATTTTCATCACCCCAAAAAGAAACTCTATACCCATTAGCAGTCGCTACCTGTTTCCCTCAACACCCACCTTGTAAACCCTGAGGAACTACTAACCTAACTTCTGTCTCCGTAGATTTGCCTATTCTGGATGTTTTGCATAAATGGAATCATACAATCTGTGGCCTTTTGTGTCTGACTTCTTTTACTTAGCATGTTTTCAAGAGCCATCCATGTTGTAGCATGAATCCTTTCAATTCTCGAGTATATACCTGGGAGTAGAATTGCTGGGTCATATGGTAACCCTGTGTTTAACGTTTCAAGGAACTGCCAGACTTTTCTACAGCAGCTGTACCATTTTACTTTCCCACCAGCAGTGTATGAGGGTTCCATTTTCTCCACATCCTGCCAACACTTGTTACCTTTTGATTATAGCCATCCTAGTGGGTGTGAAGGGTATCTCTGGTGTGGTTTTGATTTGCATTTCCCTCATGCTAATGATGTTGAGCATTTTTTCACAGACACTTATTGGCCATTTGTATATCTTCTTTGGTGAGATATAGATTCAGATCATTTGCCCGTTTTTAAATTGGGTTATTTGTCCTTTTATTATTGAGCCAATAAAGTAATGAACATGCTGAGGCAAACTTCTAGGAAAAAATATGTTTGCCCTTGTAGGCATGTCTCGTTCTGATGCAGTGAGGGACAAGGCCTGGTACAAGGTTTGTCCATGACAGAGACTCCCAGGACCTAGGTTGGTTTCTACGATCTGTAGGAAGTTTGAATTTTAGCTGGAGTTTGACTCAGACTTGTGCCTGCTCTTGTTCTGAGCCATAACTGTTCACTGCAAAGCAGATTTCCTCTCTCAGTTTCCTCTTTTGGTCAGTTATGTCAGATGGCCCAGGCAACCAAGCTTGAATCCTTGGTTCCCTTACCAGAGCCTGTTAATTCTTCCTTCCTAACAACTCTTCAGTTCTCACTGCCTCCTCTGGCATCCAGACCCACATCAGTCCTGATTCACTTGTAAGCTCCCTGAAGTCTGGGGTCATCCCTTTCCCTTCTGTAGCCCCAAAGCCTGATAGACGGGAACTATTCACTAAATCTTTCTTCATTGTCTTTGCTCCACCATATTTGCACAACTTTGCAACTGTATTAACAGGACTTACCCTCCCCCAGGGTAGAAATTATAGTAAAATGATTAATACATGAACAAGAAGGCAACCTTTTGCCTTCTCCACACAGGCCCGAGTTAGTGCTACTTTGGATGAGTGTGTCTCTGAGCAGCAGATGGGAGATGAAACGATGTAAGGAATTATCTCACCAAGATTCAGTTATTGGTTTTGGTGGGGATCTTTCTGAAGGATACTGGTGTCCACACTCTGAATTCTTCCTTGTCTGAAGTTGGAAATCTGTAGCATGAGTACTCCACTCTAATCCTCACCTCTGACTGAGTCTTCCTGTTCTCTCGGGTCCTTAGTCTCACTCCCATCACACTTGTTCTTTGACCTTGGCTCCCTTGAGTTTCCTGGGGTTTTTTCGCCCAGTGTCAGTTCTCTCTTGGCCTTCCTTTTTTCTCTCTCCCCAGTTTTGATCTCATGACTAATCTCGTGAAGGACATTGTTATCAGCATATTCAGTTCCCTGATCCCACTGTTCTAGTGCAAACCTTCCTACTTCTCACTGCATCTCTTACTTTAAGCTCCTAATTGCTCTCCAGTCTTTCTGTCTCCTGAAATATGCTCCATACCACTGCCAATAGAGCGGCTATATATGTGCCTGGCAAGGAGGCTTGTAGGGGTTGAAATCCAGCCCTCTTTCCACTGGGTAGAAAGGCTATGTCTGCCCAGAGGGGACATCATCCTCTAATCGGCACACAGACAATAATGGGTTCACAGGGGACCTGGCTGCCAAAGTGACCTTTCTAAAATATCTGACCATGTTATTCCTCTGCATAATACTCTTCAGTGGGCTCCATTAGCTAAAGTCCAAGCTCCTTAGCATGGATTGCAGACCTTCTATGACCAAGTCCTACCTGTCTCACCAGCCTTTTGATGAGAGTGACTATATCACTTTATTTATTGCCCAAACAGGAACACTTCTGAAAGAAAGGAGGCATAATATTATAATAATCGTTATAATAATTATGCCAGGACAATAAACGGATACTGTCTGGGCACCCATGTGTAACCCACCATCCCACACCTTGGATTCCTATGCTGTAGTAATACCAAACTGCCGATAGTGTTCCACAGGCACCATGTCGTTTACAAATCAAGTGGTTTTGATAAGTTATTTTGAACACCTTGTAAATCTGAGGACATTTTGACTCCTTTCTCTGATTGACTGTTAAAAGATGAAATCAAAATGTCCACAAGGTCAAAATGTCAAGATTAAAATGGTCACAGCCTAAACAATGAGATTAGAACATCTGATTCTGTGCTCTTCTACTTTTCTGGTTACTGAATCATAGTCCTTTCTCTCCTTAAAATGTCTGTTCCCTCCTCCTCATTTTCCTGACTTTCTCTGGTTTATTTCCTCTTATTATTCAAGACATATCAAGGATCACCTGTTCCATTTATCTTTCCCTGACACTTCCTGGGTGGGCTCAGTTCCCATCATCTTGTTCTCACAGCACCCTGTATATACTTTTTTACTGTACCTAAAAAATAGTGTGTCAAAGTTGTCTATTCAGGCCTGCCTTGCTCACAAGACTATAAGGTCCTCAAGGCAAGAATGCTGTCTTTTTAATCTTTGTATCCTCAATGCCTAGCACAGTGCTTGACAAACAATAGAATCTCAAATATTTATTGACATGGACTAATTTGAACTCCTTATTATAATATGAAGTTAAATGTGCTTGTTCTTTATCTCCTAGAGAAGTTCTTAGAATACTAGTGAAGATTTATACATACTTGGAGCTTTCATGAGGTTGACCTTTGGCATGTTGAAGTTGTAGAGATTATTGTTACATTATTTTTTATATCACAGAATCATACAAGAGGAAAAGACATACCCATAATATTAATATGTGAACTGTGAAAGTGTGAACAGTGGTGTGTGAAACTTCAGTTTGCCATGCCACAGCCAAAATTGTTCTGAGAGTATTGGCAGAGTAATTCTTGTTTAATGCAATGAAGAGTCATGAAACCCATTAAATAATAGTGTTCTGTCCTTGCCTTCTTTTCAGAACTCTCTGGTTTAGGTATTTTGAGTAAAGGTGTTCAGTGTTATCTCAATTTTAGTATTTGTTTTACAGGCCTAATGTATTCTTTTTCCATCTCTCTAGAATGTTTCAGACATTTAAAGAATGGTTTTGGTTGGAAAGATTCTGGCTTCCTCCAACAATAAAATGGTCAGATCTTGAAGATCACGATGGACTCGTCTTTGCAAAACCCTCTCATTTATATATGACAATTCCATATGCTTTTGGCTTGCTGATTATTAGACATTTCTTTGAAAAGTAAGTAGCGTTTGTGTGTCTTTCCTTCCCATTCTCCTTCTTTGCCCCAAGTCTAGAATAATAGAATCTTGGTAAGATTCTTAAAGAATCTATTGTTCAGAGGTTGCCACTAATGGGCTACAGATTCTTGAGGGAATTCATGAAATCAATTGCACACCAAGTGTTATCTAGAAGCTGAACAAGTAAAAATTAGAAACACGATCTCCTCAAGTGCTTTAGTTTTATAGTGAAGAAAATTGAGATCAAGAGAGGTTAAGATCACAGAGCTTATTAGTGTCAATGACAGTGCAGGAATCTAGTTCGTCTTTCATATACCATCCTGTCTGACAAAGGATATGCATTTCCATAAAAGCAGCGTTAGAAGAGTCTATGACCAGGAGATGCGTTATCATTTTAGAATGCCTATAAAATAGCAAAAATGCCTCATTAAAGTCCAAACTTAATATTGCTTTATAGCATAGTTTATTTTAAAGGTTTATTGAAAGTTTTAATAGCAGCCCTTCATTCCAAAGTATAAAGAACTCAAAGAAAAAAAATCAATTTGCTTTCTCAGAAAAAGTAAACTTCTTTTCTTTTTCTTAATTTAATTTAAATAGATATTATTTCCAACCTTTTTATTGAAACTGTACTAGTGTTATGATAACAGGGGATAAATGTTCATCTATAATCACTGTAGTTGCCTCTATTTCAAAAAACTGTTATTAGCACATTAATTTTTTTGGAGCAAAAAAAATATTCAAATGTCACGGGTTGGAAAAACTTAAGACAAAATCTGATAAAGATCATTTTGTCCAAGACTAACTGTAATGCAGATCATATGTATATAACCATTTGCAGGGTGCTTATCTCAAGAGTTAGTTTGACCAGCTCTGTTTCATGGACTCTCCCAAAGGTTTTTGTACAAATAACAACTTTACTGGGGCCAACAATGTGTATTGCTATTGGAAGGAAGAGAAAACCCCTGGACACCACTAAACCATAGCTGAGAACACTTGAAAATGTTCTTCTTTTTTGACAGTTAATTCTACTTTTTACTCGCATGTTTGAATTTGTCAAAGAATGTATAAATAAAGTAGAATTTTGTGCCACTGCAATTCCAAATTAGCAAATTACTCTTTACTATCCTGAAATACCTGCTTTTCTTGCATAGTGTCTGGTGATCTTTGAATTTGGCAGCCCGGTCCTCTACTTATTTGCTTTGCAAATTTCCTACTTTTTGGTGGACAGCTCCATTTTTTTACATTTTGATCAGGACAGTGAACTAGAAAATTCTTTTGGTTGCTAAAACAGCACAGCTGTGGAGGACAACCTTGTTATGTCTTGGTCTTGGCCGTGCCAACAACAATCAGGAAGAAATCTAATCCTCCTTTAATTCTTAGGACCATTCTTGCTGCTTCTCAAGGGATTAAGTATAGTCTAGATCATCTTTCCTATCTTCTTATAACTTTAACTCCCAATAACCCAGTCTTAGCTTTTTCCATTCTATGACTTGACAGAAAGCTATGTGTTGCTCCACTAGTCTCATATCACTTTTAATGCAATAGAAGGAAGGAAAATTTAACTTGGAAGAGAAATCATGCTTTTTGAAATATGTTTATATTTTTTCCAGGGATTCTATATCATTTGCATTAGATTAAACCACTTATACATAAAATATTATTTATACCTTGAATTTTAATAAGAACTTAGAGTTTAAGAGATATATAAAATCACAAGTGGTATGATCTCAGTTGAGAAAATGAGAGGTAAGTGACCTGGCCAAGGTCACACAGTTAGTATGTAAAGGGTAGATCTGGGACTTGAACCCATGTGTTATGATACTAGGTTCAGGATTGTTGATTTTTTATTTTCCCTTATAGCAGTACCTTTTGGACTTTTACAGTGAAATACTCTTGAGGGCAAAAAAGAGTAAATTAATATCTCTTGGGAATACAGAAGATATAGCCTAAAGAGATAATAGCAAATGTGAAAATTTCTGAACTATCTTAAAAATTCATGTAAATTTGACACTGTGTTTCAGTATATCCTATGATATATTTATCACAAGAAAGCTTCCTTATTTTGTCCTAGCCTGTGTTTATGTTACACCTTCTCATTCTATGAAGTGACCAGGAGTTGTGATTTTACTGGCTCATTTTTATCCTTTACTACTAGCCAGGAGGCATTTAAGATCAGGAAGTAATGTCTCTTCCTAGAAAAGCAAGAGTAGAGAGACAGAATTGATAAAGAACAAACAAGTACATCATTTGAAAGTGACTGACATTTGCTTTGTATTTAGGATTTCCTTTCCTTACAAGTTTTAGTTTGTGGCTTATATTTTGATGTTTTTTTGTTTTTTTTGGTTTAGAATAGCAGTTTCTAACTAGTTTATCCAGACTGTTCTAAGCTTTGTTTTATGTGTCTGAAGTGTGATTTAAAGGGGATCTAAGCTACTCAAATGTAAACACTTGTGGAATAAACACATTATCTTGGAGTAAATTATGGTCCCAGAAGAGTCCAAGGCAGAGGTGGAGTTGGTAAAATCAGAAGGTAATCTTTTTTCTTTTACTTACCTGTACAACGAATGGATTCCCCACCTCTACCCAACATAAGGGCTTGATGAGATAGTATGTCCATCGTTCTTTAAATAAAGGTAGGTGTAGCAATTTACAGGAGTTGAAAAAGGATTGTTACTAACTGTCCTCAATTGAAGCAGTCTCAAAATATGCACATTAAACTTAAGTGTTATCTGAGACTTCATTGCTCAGATATTTTGTTCTCTCGTATAAAACTCTCTGATTAAACTCTGCTCAAAGAGCTTTTGAATCCTTAGGAACTGGGAATCAATCTTATGCCAGTAGGCTATTGTTTCTATTTAGGAGAGGTATTTAAACTTCACATACTTAATATCTGCCTAGGTCTGCCTTCCCTTTATTCTATGAAAGAATATTAAAATGGGGTGGGGGGGCCAGTCTGGGATTGCTGGCTTTTGGCTCACGGGTAACTGACATAGTGCTAGATGAAGAGGGGGCTGTCCGGGGGTCTGAATGGGGACTTCCAAAGGCTCAGTTCTGCAATAGTGGCAAACCTAACAGACTCATTCCCTGGTAATTAACCTAACTTTGAACCATTTACATGGGAGCAGAAGTTCACATTCTTTTTTCTTCCTCTTGGACTTTTTTTTTTTTTCCTAGTCCATATCAATAAAATGAAAGTTCAAGCGAGTTAATCCCTAAGGTCCTTCTAGAGCTAAGACCTGTCATTTCCCTTCTCTTTTCAGTTCAGTTTATCAAATATTTATTGTGCTTCTTTCTTTTCTCCTTTTTCAAAATAGTTTTTAAATTAAGAACCTATTCATATTTATTTACACTTACATTAGATGAAGTGATTGATTTTCTAGATTTATTTGAAAAGTAAGGATAATGTTGAGTAGAAAACTGTACTTATATACTTCCTCTGTTCTATTGAAAATTTTATTTCTGTCCTTGAAGCCTGGACATGTTAACAAACAGGACCATATTTCTCTTTCTTGTTTAAATTAATGATTTTAATATAGATGTATTCCTCATATCAGCAAGTGTGCTATAGATATGTATATTTACCCACTGTATATACATATCCATATACTTATGCCTCACATGACCCTCTAGACGGGAATGTTATACGTCATTTGGCTTTGCGATTTGTTATATTCCCTTACTGCATAAATCTTCTTTAGCTCAATTCTGCTTTGCTTTTTTATTTTTCCTAATTTCTAACATTTGAGGAGATAGCGTTGAATGAATATGATTGAGAATGCTTTCATATTAAATCATTTTGTATTTGTGTTATTCTACTAGTAAAAACGATGATTGTTTTCTCCAATAAAAATTTTCAACTAGTAGGTTGGATAAGTGAACCAATTCCATTATTTATCTAAAGCCCTGTCAAGTATGTTTTTTCAGACTCTGTTAGTTTTAAGGACATCTTAGTTTTGTTTTATTTGGACATTTTGTGCAAAGGGGGAATTCATTAATCATAATCCTCAAATCATAGCATGCTGTCTTTAATCTATGTAAGACCTCTTTTGATTGATTGAGTTGAATTAACTTTTTCATTGATTACCGTTTATCCCCATTTCCTAGTCTCACTCCCTCCCTGCTGGGTTCTAATGTATTTGATGGCTTGTTTATATGACCCAGTAAAATATGTGCATAACCATAAAGTGCATGTATTTTTAGTTGACATAAATGATATGATGATAAGACCTTATTTTGTTTCTTTTTTTTCTCAAACACAATGTTATGTTTTATGATCTATCTACATTGCTCTGTGTACATCTGGCACATAATTAGTTTGTTTTTGTATGTCTCTGAAATGTATGGGCCACTTCCAGGAGAACTTAGTCCATCTGGAAGTTGGATTGGCTTATACATTTTGTCAAATTATCTTAGGAAAATTTTTTTTCAACTCCCATGGTTAAAAAAGAATTAAGGGACTAAATGATCATTCATAACTAAAATTTTCAGCATTTAATTAAACACAGAAACTTCTAAGTAAGTACTAGAAGAGACTGACCTGGCAGAAGATAGAACCTTTGTTAGAACTAAAGGAAGAATAGGGACGTATCATTATTTTAGAAAATCAGCATCATCGAGATATGATTTACATACAAAATTCATCCAAAATTTGATGTATTTTGACAAATGTATACAGTCATGTAATATCACCTCAATCATGATATAGGAGATTTCCATCAGCTGAAAAACTCCTCTGTACTCCCTTCAGTTAATCCCCTCTCTACCTACTAGCTCCTGGCAATCACTTATATGCTTTTTCCGTATAATTTGCCTTTTCTAGGATTGCCTATAAATGGAATCGTATAGATTGTAGTCTTTTGTGTCTAACTTTTTTCACTTAGCATAACACTTTTGAGATTTTTTCCATGTAGTAATGTTTATCACTGATTCCTTGTCATTGCTGAGTAGTCTTTCAATATATTCAATATATACCACAATTTATTTATCCTTTAACTAGTTGAT